AAATTGACCATGACTCAATGTTGAAAAAGTGCAAAACTTCCAGAGAGAATTAATACCTTTTATAGGCCCCGTATGGCAATGATGTGGTGTTTCATAAGCACAGAGCAAACTAGCACCATTTCCTCATGAGTTTTTCATGCCGCCCTAGACTGAAAAAACCCTCGAGTTGGAACATAATTTGCCTTTATGTCATACTGACGGGAAGTGACACAAGTGTGTGAAATCAGGAAATGAAACTTGTGGTTCGAAGGGCGTCACAGCGATGTGTAACCATTAGTGGGTTTGTTGAGCTGGGAGGGAGGAAACTGACATAGCAGCGGGGTTAATGGAGTCAGTTCAGGGGTTTATTCCTCCAAAGCATATTTGTAGACCCTCTACGTCTAAACGGGTGAAGACGAGGCCATGAGGCAGGTGTGTAGGAGTGGGACTGTTTCCAAAAAGTTTCTGAGAAACTCCCGCACACTGTCTGACTCGTAGAAATAAACACATATGAAGCATTTCAGTGCTACAGCGTCATTAAAATCGTCAAAATCATTTTGCAAGTTAGTCCGTGTGCGGGACTGTTGGTGTATTTGCCATCACTGAGGCTCTGTGGGTCTTGGTAGCTTTATGCTTTCTATTCATGTTGTAGAAGGATGTGCACAAAACAGCGAGACAGCAGTGAAGGGCTGAACGATTTAACATCAGATATTATGATTAGATTTGTGATTGGTTCATTCAAAACATGTGATGGAGCGCCGCAACATGAGACACCACCAAAAGTGTGACGTGTGAAAGTTCGCAGCCTAAACCACATTCTGATCAATCGGCACCAGAAGGTTTTTAATCTGCTCAGCTTAAATATATCCGAATTACCGCACTAGCCTCGTTGTTATTTATATTCTGTATCTCAGACTGCAGCCTTTGGTATTTGCTAATTGCTTTGTTTCAGACTGCAGTTTCAAATCTATTAATAGTTGAGAAGCAGAACAGAGTAAACTGACAAGTAGCACAACCTCCCTGCAGCTACGAAAAACTAATCTGCTTCAGAGTAAACACAGACATGAACAACCACTACTGTGCTGTTGGTCCTAAAGTGCAGCCTTTGTGGTTTGTTCGAATTGCTTTTTAAAAAAAAATCGATTGATTGTTCAGCCCAAGTTCGCAGCAGCCGCTTTGACGTGGAACAGTAATTAAACACGGCTGTAATTAAGCTCATTAATGAAGCGCCTGTTCTGTTTTGGGGATGGTTTTCTGCATCGCATCTCATGTGTTTGCATGAAAATAGCTGCTGTGACAGAAGTCTCGATATCTTAAAATTGGGTGAATGCTGCTTAAGTTTTAAAGTCTGAATGCAGAAATACAACTAACTAATACCTACACAACTAATGCTTCAGTAAAACCAATCAGTGTTGGTTTATTCATTTGAGATTACTGTCAACTCCTAAATAATACGTGAAGGCATTTCTCATTCAGGTGTTTCGATAAAGGAAACCGACGCGTAAACACAAAAGTTTGGAAGATATAAAACAAAACGTAGAGTACAAATGCTCAGACTTTGCCAGGAGACAAGTCGGATCAGGCTTTGGATGAAGCTTCCAGCTCACATGTATGACGGTGAGCAGACGCCAAGCCGGAGCAGCTATGTGAAAAATGTTCCTTTAGAGCCATCTGCTGTGCACACGTCAGCCCAGAGAGCGTGATTATCTTCTAAATCTAGACTTTGTTCAACATCGCTTGACATTTGGTGCGTCTCCACTCGTCTTTCAGAATGACGCCAGAAACTGTCGTGTGATGTTTCACAGTTTGCAGCGAGGACACGATGCCCCGTTACAAAAAAAGAGAAAAAACGCTGAGGAAGTGAGAATGGTCTGAGATTAAAAAAATTTTAAAAAACGCACGCCACCAGGACTGATGGAGCTAAAGGTCACGAAGCAGAGGAAAGGTGTTGAGCTGGACGGGTTTGACTGGGAGGTTTGTTTTCTACACGGTGAAAGGAGGCGGCGATCAAACGAACCACAAGTTTTAACCTGAACCCTCGAGGCTGAGCGGGAGAATAAAGGCAGAGCTGAGTCACGCCTGTTTGCTCTCATGTCCTCATCCAGACGTCAGATCGGTAATTCAGTATTATTGCACAACAACTAAACAGGGAGATTTTGAGCAGAAAACACCTGATTTCCTCCAATTTGCACCTTTTTCTTTGCATCAATTTACAGTGAAAGTGTCTAAATTCATATATAGGATCACAATGAGCAAACATTAGCGCCGTTTTTGTACTTTTTTTTAAAAGTCGGAGACAAATGCATGTGTTGAAAATATGCATCCCCACTTCAACCCATGTTGTACTCTCTAGGAATAAATTCCAAGAACATAATCCCGTTGCTTAAATAAATAAAAACAGTGCATTGACTTGATGTTGCCTCAACTCGATATTATGAGTCATTCAAACTTAGATTTCTGCACTAGTTCATTTAAACCTAAATTCAAAATTGAGATAACTTAATCAAATTGGTTTGATAACTTAATTTTCGAGTCTCCTGCTTTTTCTTTTGAACACTGGAGCAACTTAATTATCAAAATTTCCCAATTTGCATTCATAAAAGTACATCAGCAAAATTCAGGAACAGCTGAATTTTTCTGTCTTAGTTTACCAATCATCAAATAAACGGTTAATAACAACGTCTTGATTGTGGAGGAAAAGCTAACTCCATCCACCTCAATGTAGTTTGTTGGATGAACTTAATTTCATTGGAAAAGCTGATGCAGACTGTTGCTTTGCTTTGTTCTATTGAGCCAAAACCTTTTTTTTAGAGAGCGGTAGTGTGGACGTATCCTTAAGAATACAGTCGTTGTTCAACATCAGCATTTTGTTGAAAGGCATAAAACTGGAGCCTTGTCTTGTCATATTGTCCACACATCAGGTTCTGCTGATGTTAGAGCCTCAACAGGTGGTGAAATGTCGACCAAAGACTGTATTTTTAGTAGGAAATATGGATCATCCATGTATATACACACTTACAGGAACTTTATAGGGCCTTTAAACCACCTACATTTCCAATGTTTTTCCATTTTTTAGGGCCAATTATTATTATTATTTTTTTAATCCTACTCTGCTGGAATCATTCAAGTCATTTCTAGAAACATCTCGTCTGTTTATGATCTAAAACTTAGAGGTAATTAAAGAATCTGTTCTCTTAACTCAGAGTCGTTTGTTGGTTGAACATAATGTCATAATGTTGTCAGAACTCAAAAAGATTGATGTGAACTCTTCATGTGTTGAGCCTGAGCAATGTTTTAAGGGTTTATGTGAGTCAGAAACCATTAATGGTGACGGTATAAACTCGTCAACAGAACTCCCCAAAGATTGATGCAAACTCATGAGTTCATGTGTTTTGTTGAGTTTATGAGTCACAGAGCGTGTATATGGTAAGCATATGTGCTTTAATCTTTATTTTCATTCATTAAACTCTTTAAAACGGGATTTTCTTTACATTTTTGGTTGAATTCTTGGTGTAGTTTGTTTGTTAAACGCGTCAGCAGAAGTTCCAGTTACTCACAAAGATTGATGTTAACATGTTTTGTTGAGTTTATGGTGTATTTGGTAAGCATATACACCCTAATCTTCATCCTCCATTCATTTAACGTCATATATCAGGTATGTGACAAGCGCAACCTTCTGCATCTCTGCCATCCAGCTGCTTCCACCCTGCTTCCTCCTCTCTAACAGGACCTCAGGCCTTACCTCAGCTTCAGATTCTCCATAAACTGCTCCATCGTCACCTCATCCAGCAGCACAAAGTCCGACTTGCCGAACTCCAAACCCTCCAGCTCCGCCATCCCTCGCTGTGGTCGCCGAACACGCCAAAATAAGAGTCAGACGGGACGCAGAGGGAACAGAAAGTAGCTCAAGGAAGAAGAAAGAAGCTTCTGGGCCGGTAGTGCAGACGGTTTTGTAGGCGTGGCGTGGTCTTTGCTCGAGTCTATGCTTAGTGGAGCCACACGGCGCTGTGGTCTACAAGCTGCAGCAAGTCGACCTGTCACTCACGCACATCTGTATAAATAGCAGAGGCTATCTTTAAAAGCTCACGCCACTTCTGCATCCTATTCTGCATCCTTTTCTGTCTCGTCTCTTCCTGCCACAAACCTTCTACGCTCAACAAGCCTTCACTCGCTTCATTTCTGTGTATCTTTGTGTTCCCAGAAACAGGAACCCACATGTGACTCGCTGCCAGACGAGAGCAGCTAACTTTGCTAATTTGAGGGTAGAAAAAAAATGGCCCTTTATCTCCTGGGAAGGATCGCGGCATTTCCTCTCTGAACTTGGCACCGGCGGCACAACTCGTCCCTCGGGGTTTTCTCTCTGGAACTCGGTCTGTAGATGTTGGAGACGACGGTTTCTGTGATAGAGTTCAGACACCAGGATGCTGACTAAAGCATATCACCAAATCCCTTTTCCCACCATTTCACGGTTTTTTGTTGATCTGGGAATCCCTTTCAAGAGCTTTTGAAGGTAACTCAGTCTCCACAGCGTTACATTCCGATTCCCTCCGATTCTAATCTTTGGCAGATATTTTCCCGCCTCACCGTCTTTTCAGCCAACCAGTCAGATACTAGACGAGGTGGGACCTGTTGCACCATTAACCCCCCAAAAACATGGAAATAAAGCTTTAAATATGTTGTGAAAAGGTTGTATTTCAACCCAAACCAGGTGATGTTTGTGTCTAAACCAAACCAGAAAGCGAGTGAAAACCAAAAGTAAACAACAACAATAAACAAAAAAGCACAGAGACTCAACTTCTACCAAAAGTGTATTATCCATTATTTTATTTTTTTTATTTTTAATCTGCAGCCATCAGGAGCTATTGACATTAGCAGCTTTCAACTACTACTTGAACACTGGTATCAACATTATCTCTAGACTATTACAACTGTTTTGTGAATTATTCGGGTTTTTTTGTACAATCTTTTAGTTGTTACGCTGCTAATCAAGCTAATGTTAGCTGTTTGAGGCTAAAACTACATTTGTTAGCATACAGCACAGCTAACTATTTTCTGTGTTGTGGTTCATTTGTGAACATGTGTGGATTATTTGTGTATTCTAGTTACATTTCTGTTGTTTTCAGTGACTGAGTCCTTTTCTATGCATGGTTAGCCTTGATGCTAGCATTTTTAATTAGCTTAAATTAGCTCCTTTTGACGTATTTGTAGTTGTTTGTTAAATCAGATGCAGTTTAAAGTTGTAATTAGCATTAGCATCCATATCATATTTTATTCTGATGTGTCAGAGATTCGCACAGTTAGCCCTACAGCTAGTTAGCCATACTGCTAGTTAGCCCTGTAGTCACACTGTTTGAATAGCGTGCATTAGCTACTTTTAGTACGTATTTGTCGCAGTTTGTAAACAGGTTAAACCAAATACAAACAAGTTTACATTTTCTGATAGCATTAGCGCTTTTATTTAAGATTTTATTCAGATGTGCCAGAAATTCACACATGGTTCGTCCTACAGCTAGTTAGCCTTGCAGTCATGTTATTAAATTAATTAGCTTCTTTTGCGGTGATGCGGATTGCTGCAGTTTGTTAACAGATTAAACCAAATACAAACAAACAGCATAACTCAGTTTAAATGAGCTGCTTTTAGGTTATCATTTTATTATAAAGTTAGGTCTAAACTTGCTGCACTTTCATTCATTTAATGTCAATTCGTTTTTACATGCTTTCATTTATTTTTAAATTTTCTTTTGTCCTTTTTCTGCTGTTTTTGTCAACTGGTGTGATTTTATGCAACCCGTGTGCACTTTATTTAACTTGTTTTTGATTTATTTAATTCAGTTATTGTATTTTTTATTCTGCTGTATTTTGTATTTTATCCTTTATTTTATTTACCTTTGTTGCCCTTGTAAAGCCCTTTACACAGCCTCAGTGTGTGATAAGGTGATATATATAAATCACTTTTCTTGCTATTCAGTGTATTAGTGTTAATCTAATGTTTTATTCAGATGCGTCTGCAATAGTGGCCATTTTGGATTTTGCCTCTGGATTGTTGTTTCACCAATAATTGGGATATTTATCCGACATGAACTGGTTTCACGACTCAGCAGCTCATAATTACCTTGTGAAAGAAAAAAAAGAGTATTTTTCTTGGCTTAACTTGTCAGTGGCAGCTCACCTGTCTGACTTGTTATCACTTGAATTTGTCTTTCAGTGGAGTTTAGTTATTGTTTACTTTAGTGAAAGAGAAAGGATGAAATAATCTGTACTTGTGTTTTATGTGTCGCTGTTTGTGCCAACAGGCCAACATTTACTCAGTAAAACTTTTTCTGGTGTAGTGAGACAGAAAACACTAAAAACACCTAAAAATCTGATTTATCCTTTAAGCATGAAGCTCATTAAGTGGATGAGCATCCAAACAGTCACAAATCCAGATGCAGTGACGTGATGATCCGGACGCTTCATCCCTCGTCTCCGACATGTTTTTGCAGCTCGTGCTTATCTTTCCAAGTCCAGACGAGTGACGCAGCATGACTCAACGGCTTTTCTTTTCCATGACGAGCAAAATCTATTCTGTGTCTCATGAATAGAGTCTGAATAGAGAAAACCTCAAAAGATCCGTTCACATGCATGACGACGTTTTCACACTGCTGGTGTACAGAAAGGTGTCGTTCCTCCCACGCAAACAAATCTACAAACTCTATTTATATATATATATCTACTGACTGGTGTTTTAAAATATGTGTCTCTGGGATTTCTGTAGCCCCCCCACAGGTTTTAGTTCATTTTAAATGCCATTTGAATGAAGACTGATGTCCCTGTTAGTCTGGAAATTCCACAGACCTCACACAAAGAGCTCAGGAATACCTAAAAGTCTGAAACTGAAACCTCCAGGGGCCCTACAGGCAAAAACACCAACCACAGAGCTCAGTGTTCCTGATTTATGGACCTCTGCTGAACCACTCCACTGTAACTACCTTAAATCAGCCCTAAAAGACTAATCACAGTTTAAAAACTACAATAACACGAACGGGCACGGCTCAGTAACACCACAGTTTGTAGTTTGACAAAGAAATCCCAACTCGTGGTTCATTCAGCAGCTTTTTCCTGAGTTTTTATTCTGCATGGACGTGGTTGAAGCTGATAAGAATACATTAAATAGTGAGCACTTATTTTTTCTACATCAAGAATGCTTAAATTTTAAGCCAAAATAGGCACAAAGTGGAAAGTAGTGTACTGAAAGCTCCAGAAAAAGCCGGTAATCTAAAAAAAAAAAAAGAAAAAGAAGAAGAAGAAGAAAGAGTCTGAGGACTAATATTAATGCTCCCGAGAACTTTTATTAAATTAAAACCTCATGTTTTGAGTGTTATTTGTTTTAAGAATCTAAATCTGGATTAAAATCTGTTTTATTGCCAAACATGTTTTCAATAATGAGGAGATTCACTTTGTGTTTTAGAAAACCCTTAAAATATTGAAAAAAGAAATGCAAGTTCAGCAAATCCAAAGAAGTACGACTTGAAATGTGCAAAAAGAGGAATAATAATCCAATAATAAAGGGGTGTAGTTTATTTTAAATAGTTTTTCATCCAGCACCTGGAATTCTTTACATATATTTGCACATTTTTTATATACATATATTTAAACTTGGTAACTGAACCTTGAGCTGGTGTAATTTGGGTGAACTGTACCTTTAATAAATGGGTTAGTTAAACCTCCATGTCACGGCTTTGTTAATGTTCCTGACCCACATGCAGAAAGACACTCAGGAGAAGAGGATTTGAGCAATGAGGTTGATTTACAGAAAACTGGGAGTGATGAGGTTTAACCAGGCTGGGACGTCGATGAAGGTCGTCTGGGCGGCTGGGCGGGCAGGCCGGGCGGTGCTCGGTGCAGTGGGGTTGAGTAGCTGGAGCGTACCGGTTGTGAGTTGAGTTTCCAGGGAGCAATGGAGATAGACTCGGGTCAGCACAGGTTGGTAAAGAAGGTGCATCAGCGTGAAGCAGGTACTCAGGGAAAAAACCTTCGGAGAGGGAAAAGACAATCATTAGCAGGCACTGGAAAAAAAGCACAAGAAGTACTGAGGAGGAGGCTTGATGTGTACCATGATGGTTAACACTCAGGCAGTGACTGCTCCCTTCATCCCTGGAGTGACGAGCCTCACAAGTGTGTAAAGAACACACCTGCAGGGAATGAGCCCCGGAGCAGCAAGAGATCCCCAGGACGCCCTCTGGTGGAGAAAACACAAACAGCCCAGAAAACCCCCATTCCCTGACACTCCAAACATCTGTAACTTAACTGGTTCAGAAAAAAAAAAAAAAAGAAGTAGATGAAGAGCAACTTGTCCATCATTGTGTCTGTTCTGTTTGTGTTCCATCAGTGAAACCGCCCGGCAACAGATGAGTAACAAACAGAGTGAAACCACAGAGGAGACGTTCATCATCACTCATCTGAGGTTTCACTCTGTTTTACTGTCAAAAAAAAAAAAAGAATTACAAGAGCAGCGGGGCTTTACCACCAGACTGAAGAGAAAGAAAGAAGTTCTACCTGCAGAACCTGAACCCAACGTCTGGTGTGTCTGATCAAAGACCTTTTCTTTTTTTTTTTGGAACATCACTGATTCATCGGTCGGTTAAAGTGACGACATTCTAACATTCACGGATCACTTTAATCTTCTCTGAGAAACACCTGACACCACATCAGTGGGTTGTACCGGACCAGAGACCACAGAACCAGTCATGTTTTATACATAATAATGAGCAAAGCAGCTTTCTTTATTGAATACTTACTGACTTCTCTATTCATTCACCTGTTTACATGTTCTAGTCTTTTATTTTACTGATTGCTACTTCATTTTTAATCATTTTTTTAATTCTGTTTATAAAGTTCTTGATTTTCTTTTTTTGCATCTTTTAATAACAGGTGTCTTATTTATGTAGCTTGTTTGATCTTATTTGATCTCATCTGGTGTTTCCTCGTTGCCCGTCTTGTAAAGGACAGCGTGTCTCAGAGGCCTTTTGTTGATAACTGGACCGTGGACGGTTGTTTGTTTGTGTTGTTTTATTTTTATTAACAGCTCGCCCATGTGAAATGACATATACTCATCCACTCTAGACAAAAGCCTGAACTCTGTGAGCTGCACGGACAGACTGACCAGCAGCTTGATCGTCTGCACACTGAAGAACAGCCAACAGCATCAACGAATCCACAATGAGCACGGTGAACAGTTAAAAATAAGCTAAATTTGAACTGGATAAAACAGGTGGTTATTATGAAATGTTTTGCAAGAGTTGACATGAAACTGTCTGTATAGCATTCATATACCAGCAACATAAAAAGTCCCAAATCATGTCCCAGGACACGAAACAATAGATCAAATTTCGTGACTATTTCACAAATTGAAAATGGACAAAAGTTCATAATTTTGAAAAAAACAACAACAATAAACAGCGGTATTGGATCCCCAGAAAGTCCCTGTAAGCATCAGTATCTCCTACTGGAAGTCTTGAGTCCACATTTCATCAACTTTTGTCTGACGTTAGTACAAAGTGTGACATGACATGTACTACTGGCTGTGAAAGTTCTGTTTGTGGTACCGAGGCAATGCACACTGTCCAGAATCAGATCCATCTTCTCATATCAATGTGGCGAGATCTTTAAAATGATATCAGCACCTTTTCCTGCCTGTCTTCGTTTTTGTCTTCTGTTTGCCCGTTGAGTCGTAGGTTCCATCTTGGTTTGTGTGCCTCCAAATCTTCCCCCTTTTTTTCGACGCGGGAAAGTTTTTGACATCGATCGTTGTTGGCAACTTTCAGATGTTTGAATGAATTTGAATTTCACATCATATGCACTGTCGTCAGGGCAAAATATCCATCCCAAAAAATAAAATCCACCATCCCCCCCTGAAGTTTTTTTACAAATCGACTACTGATAATATAACCCTAACCTTATCCAGAGTCAGGTCTTGGTGGCACCAGGGTTCATCCAGAAGTCGTCACCAACAACTGGAGGATCCCAAAACATTCAGTTATTTAACTCATTACTTAATAATTACACACATATACCATTACAGTCCCATTAGAGATTAAAGTGACACCTGAAGTTCAAAGATGTTCACATACTTTTATGGTTTCAGTAATGTTTTTGTCAGGCTATTTCCCTCACAAGAGCTGCAACTAATCCGACGGCCACAAGAGACTCCCATAATCACAGCAACACACCAAGAGGAAGAGGCTCATAAACTAATGTACGCACCTTTCTTCTGGTCATGTTGTTTTTAAACCCTGGCTATACATGACAGTTGAATTGTTTCTTCCAGACACACAGAAACAGTCTTGCTGAACATGTTTGACTGAGTTCTTGACTGTTGATCAAACAAAACTGAACAAAATATTTGAATTATGCATGAAATAATGATTTCATTTTTCACTGCTTTCTTCTTCTTGCCTGATTGTAACACATATTTATGATGTGGTTTATTGTTTTGTTTTGTTTTTAAATGTCTTTATATTAAATGCTCAGTGAGCTTTTGAATTGCTCCTGGGGGACAAATAAAGTTATTTGAATTTAATTAAACTGAATTGATTTCTTGTAGCCTGCTTTTGTTAGTTAGCCTGTCTCCTGTTAGCTTCCCTGTGTTTTGTTAGCTTGTGTTTTGTTAGCCTGTCTCCTGTTAGCCTTCCTGTGGTTTGTTAGCCTGTGTTTTGTTAGCCTCCCAGCGGTGTCACCATGGTAACAGGGCTGCTTGGTGAACGCGCCCCGCTCACATGACGTTTCCCAGCGTTCTGCGGGCGCGCTGACAGAAACAGACGGAACATCGCGGAAGAGGATGCGGCTCGGTGAGTGAATGCGGTTTAAAACGGCACACGAGTCACCTTTCTTCACTTACATTCGTAGTGTTAGGCGGTTTTCTGGCGTTTTAATGCGAGTCTGGACGCCGTGGTGACAGCGTGGATCCGCGTCAGTGCCTGTCGGCGCTTCTTGCCGGCTGTAAACCAGGAAGCAACAAGGTGGTCGATAGTCCGAAAAACTTGGTGCTGTGTACGAAGTTGTCACCGGGAGAAAACGGTGCCTTCATACGACAGAGAGAGGCGTCATTTCTGTGTTTTTACTGGTAAAATAGAGACATGGTGACAGCGACAGAAGAAGGCTTGACAACGCTTCAAACCCGATCAGTTTTAACTGTAAGAGAAGCTGATGTCAGCCGGGAAAGTGATAGGGGGACAGTGGAGGTAGAACCAGGTGCGGAAGCAGGGGTGGGCCGGGGTGGCCACGACCACCAAGACCAAAATAGATGAGACTGACTTTACTGTGACTGCATAGAGTGCAAAGAAATGCAGTGTAGCATCTAACCACAAGTGTAAAAATAGCAGTAAAGTGCATTATTTACATTAAATATTACTGGTCATTGTGTGCATGTGACATCACCATTATTATCCAAACCGGAAGTCGGCCATGTTGGATGACATCAACAACCCAGGTAGTGACCTTTCACCTTGCTTTGTGATTTTCTTTGGATTTGAGCGCCTTGTAAGAAACACGATGCCCATTTTGTGTGCGGTATACAATTGCGGCAATAATGCTTCTCGAGATAATGAAAAAGGATTCCTCCAGATTCCAAAAATAACTAAAAACGGCTCCAACAAGATCTGAAGTGCGACATAGTTTGCCGTATGGGCATATCCAGTCACCGGCTTTACAAAAAAAAAAAAGGCTAAGTCCTCCAATTAATCGAGAATATCTCTCCAGTGAGTCATAATATTTCAAGACAGTTGGAGATGGGTTATTGCTGTTATTCGCACTAGACGCCATTTTGGATTTGCAAATCATACCTTTTTGGTCACATCGTTGCACACAAAGAATGTAGTATGTTACAGTATAAACTATGCTACAAACACACCGATGCATGGATATATAAACGTGGATTCAATATAAACTAGATGATCTAACTCTGCAGGTAGAGATTAATCGTGGTACGAGCTGTATAAACAGAATAAACAGGAACAATGCGGGGGGCTCGGCATATATTTGATATTAATATCAAAATTGCTAACAGGATATCATCACAACGACCGAATATACGGATGTTTGGGTTCAGCCTTAGTGATCGGTCATTTTTCAGGCAAAATTTCAGATTATTTTCTGGTTGCAGCCTCTTTGTTGCAATGATTTTTGGCTTTTCTTTGTCATATATGTAGATGTTGGCTGAACACACAAAGTAATCTGAATACATTACCTTGGTGCTGTAAATAATTAGAGATCAATCTATCAATGATCATTTTTCGGGCAAAAAATAATATATAATATCATAAGATGTTTCTATATATATAAATAATAAAATGCTTTCTGGTTCCAGTTTATAAATTATGATGATTTTCTGCTTTCCTTTGTTCTATTTGACAATAAACTGAATATGTTACACTTCTGTGATGTTGGCTGAACACAGGAGGTAATCTGAATACATAACAGTACCTTGTCCTGTGGGAAATTATGCATGAATTTTTAAAAAAAACAAAACTATTATTTGAGGAAGTAGCAGTTTAATTGATAATTTTAAAAAAATGTAAGCAGCGGTTCTGCAGACCAGTGCTTGTTTTTAGGCTGCTGTGCTATAAGCTGCTTTTTATTATGTTAAGTGACGTTACACTATTAATATTTGAGCGTTGAAGGATATAGACAGTGATATTCTATATTAATCTTACTGTCAGTGAACCCATCAGTAAATTAAACCTGCTAACAGGTTTTGTCTGTGCATCCAGAGCCTCATATATCTGATTCCTCAGCTGAAGAACACGTCAGTGAGCCGTTGGATTGGATGTCAGCCTTCATTACAGTCAGCTAGTGTACAGACACACCATCCTGCTCCTGTAAACGTTGACTAGTGCTGCAAATCCATCGTCAACAGCTGAACTGTTTCCTCCTGTTTGCAGTTCTCAGCTGTTCCTCTGTTTTTTAAGAAAACTAAATAGCAATATTTTAAAACATTTTCATTAGGAAGCAGCAGGTTTGTGTTCAGCTCAACAAGCAGAAGAGGGAGGATGTAATGTGTTGTTGGATGGAATAAAGCGTGCTCATTTGATAATAATAATAATTTTATTTATTAGATTAGATTAGTTTAGATAGAATTTTATTGATCCTTTTGGTAGGGTACCTCAGGGAAATTGTTGATATATATATATAGCACATTGTAAAAAGAAAGCTTTACAGACCGGATCAAAAGGAAACAAAGGATTCTCAGACAGACTAATGAACAACAGACGGTCTGTCAGTCCAAACAGAAGGACAAACACCAGAGAGGCAAAAGTGTAGAAAAATAGTTAAAGATGGTGAAAGATTTTCAAAATGAATCAATGAAACAGCACCAGATAAAATAATAAAAGAGCCAAAACTGCCATTTTCAGTTAAGTGGAATAAAAGAAAACAGACGGTAAAACTGTAAAGACAAGACTAGAATCAGTATTTAATAGTAGTAATAGTGAATAAATGAAATAAAATAAATAGATAAGTAAACAAACAAAGACTAAAAGAGATGAAAAATAACATTAAATTTTTTTTTTAATCAATTGCATAATAAAAATAGACGTCACAAATCAAAACAGATTAAGTTTAAGAATTTAAGTGTTTCAGTAGGATTTGTTTTTAGTAAGAAAAATACTAAACACAAGACTTGACCTTTAAATATCTGATTGCAGAGTTTACTCTGAGGTGATCAATCTTTTACCAAAACAATTTAACACTCAGAAATACAGTTTAATGCAGACATAACGCATTTTACTCAATTTTTATTTATTTTTTTGTTGTTTATTGGCCAATAAGCATGTCTCGTAATGCAAAGAAATGAATTAAACCTGCCCTTAAATGAAGTCAGTGAAATAGCACAGGCACAAATAGAAGCCATAATTGATGATGTTTGTCTTTAGCGTTCACGAATCAGTGAAACTACACACAATAGTCCTGTCTGAAGTCATTTTCTCCCGTTTTAAACCTGGAATTAGTGGGTTTTATTCATTTTTGGCTCTAATATGCAGAATTCTTCTCAAAGTGGATTTCATTTGCCTTCTCACAGGGAGATAAAAACATCAGAGATCAGAGCTTTGAAGCTAAATGATCAAGTTTTTAGTCGCAGTCTCCTGTCTCCCACTGCCTCCTGCTCCATCTTCAGATCACGCCTCAAAGAAGAACCAGCTCTAGAAGCATACTGCTGTTGTCAGAAACCTAAATCTGCCCTCTGAGACACTGACTACTGAGCAGAACCAGAAAAACACAATCGGCCACGTGTCTGCCATAAAGCCCTCAGTGTTTTCCAGACCTGGCACGGCGTCCTGGTTTCGCTGCAGACTCTCTGCACCGACAGCTGCTGTTGACACTGTGCAGATTTGCAGCTTTTTTTAATTATTTTTTTATTTCACTGCACATCTTGTTTAGCGTCTGAATGAGCGACGGATGTAACTGAGCGTGATGATGATGATGATGATGATGATGATGATGCCACTGATGGTGTTGGTGAACTCTTTGTGGTTTCTGTGGGTTCAGCGTGTGTGATCATGACGTCTGCATCCAGAACTGCCTGGTATGGATCAAGTTCTCATAATTTTCTATTATAATATGGCTTCAAAACAAAAACACTTGAGTACGTTCACTTGGGCTTCAGCTAATCATGACTTCTGTCTTTTTTATGACGCTTTATACACTGAAAATTCAATTTTTTATGAAAGAAAAGAACAATCAGACATGTTAATAATTAGAAATTACAGTTCTCCTGTGATGGACTACTTTGTCAGGGAGCTGTAATTAATAAACAGAGAAAATTGAAGCAAACAAACTTCTTTATGGTGAATTAATACCGTATACGCGGTGGACAACAACATCAAGTTCACCCGGGAAGACGTCAGAGGAGGCTTTTTGGCTTTTTAAATCGTTGGGACATTCAACATGTGAAAAATAACTGTGTCAACACTCTTCAGGGAGATAAACAGTGAAGCTGCATTGATTGTTCACTAACTACTAATTTAATTGTCACCTATTCTATTAAGCTATTAATTGGTTTGAGCCATTTTTGTATATTAAAAAAAAAACACAAGAAAAATCTCTAATTCCAGCCGTTTAAATGTAAATATTTTCACAATTTTTCTCACATTTTAGACTCAAGAAACAAATCGATAAATCCAGACAATAATCAACACGTTAGTCACCAGTGGACATGAAGTGTGACACTGAAGTGACCCCAAACAGCTGTTTCTGTGCCTCCTGTTACTTATTGTCAGACGCAGCCTGCAGCTGGACGTCCAGTTGGTTTAATTTAACCCCGAAACTCCTTTTATCCCCCTTATGTGCTTTGTAGCCTTCACATTTGAACACAGAGCGGTTTGCTTGTTAACGTGCATGTCTTCTCCAGTCATGTAGGAAGACAACAGACACCAGTTTTCAATATTTCCAGTCAATCTAACAGCAGATTTGCATGTCTCACTTATACCAGGTGTTGAGTTTATTCTGTATCTGCTGTATTGTTGAAATCTTTCCTGTCGTTCAATGCCATCACAGTCAGCTAGTCTCCATTGGCTGGTGTGAAACTGCTCATGCTGAACTGGAACTTTAACCCTTGACCAAACTGATAGCAGCACTGTATTCACCACAGCAATGAGCTTAGCTACAGAGAATGAGGTCATCCCTCTGTGTTTACCCTTTTCTTCACACCATGGCGTGAACGTCACATGTCAAAGGCACAAAGTGTATCGAGGTGGTGTAAAGAAGTTTCTCTCTTTGCCCTCTCCCGTCCACAGACATGGATTACAAGGCTGTGTTTGCGACCTTGGACCGGGTTTGTGAGGACAACGTTTCCGTTCTGAGCGGGTCGTCTGATCTGCCGTGCGGCAGCGTCGCCGGCCGCCTGCTCACGTGCATCAGGCAGATCCAGGAACACGGACGAGCGCTGGAGCCGGTGGTTGGCAGCTTCACCGCCGTCTACCATCACTACGACTTCGACGAACAGACGCCTGGAAATGGATACAGGACTCTGGTCAAGGTGGGACGGGATGTGTGTTTCTACTCACTGTGTCTGGTGAGCTGTGACTTCTTTATGTTATGTGACTGAGCAAAACCGAAACAATACACAGAAAGAATCCTGTCTACAGATGATCAGCTGGAGGTAAAACGGTCCTTCCGTTGTCTAGAATTGGTTCTGACCAACCACCATCACACATGTTGGTATGAACCTGGAAAGTTTACCCAGAATGCACTTTTTAAAGTTTTCTCTGGTGAATGATCAGAACCAGAACCACATCCAGGGTACCAATGATTGTTTCTATGACTCTATGTCACAGACATTAACCTGCTGCAGTCTGACTGGTACCACTATGACACATCCCATAATACTGATGCTACCAGCTGGTTGTAGAAAATTGATTGCAAAAGTTTTGGGTAATTTTGAATACATTAGAGGTTGGTTGGATAAATTTTAAAAAGTCTGGACAATTTTAAAGTGACTTTTTTTTTTTTTGTCATTTTGGTTCATTTTTAACTCGTTTAAGACACGTCTTGAATAATTTTGGACTGTTTTTGAGATATTTTGTTCAAGTTTTCAGTAATTTTTGAAATGTTTCCAGGCATTTTGTTCAAGTTTTAAGTATTCTGGAGAATGTTTGAGTCATTTTGGGCATGTTTCTGCCATTTCGGAAAGATATTAGGACAACTTTGATAAGTTTGAGGTATTTTGCTAAATCTTTAGCTCATTTTGAATTTTTTTTTAGTTATTTTGGACAAAGTGAACCAGAACCACATTCAGGGTACCAACGATTGTTTCTATGACTCTGTGTCATAGACATTAACCTGCTGCAGCCTGTTACCACTATGAGACATCCCATAATACTGATGCTACCAGCTGGTTAGAGAGGGAAAAAATAACGTACTGCAGATTTAGTGTTCAGACTGTGACACCTGGATGGATGTAGAACTGATCTGGTGTCAGTTTTTTGAAGAACTCAGATGTGTCTATCTGCTGTACTGATGAAGTTCTGAGGCTAGAAAATTTTTTTTTTTTTTAAAGTCAAATAAAACATGAAATCTCGACCCTCCTCTATGTACTCAAAGGGCCTGCAACTCCTTTTATGGCATGAAGATAGAATTTTGCATGGTTTCATTAAATAGAATAAACTTATTGTACAAAAATCAGCTGATTCTGAGGCGGTCGAGGGAAGCTTTTTTTTTAGATGTGGTTTATTTTATTATGGAATTTTCCATATTTGCTGTGACTTGCCGGCTCGATTTCATCCACCCAGTTTTGCAGCTGAACAGCTTTGGCGTACAGCTTTGGTCCAGTCCACTGTCTCTGTCTATCATCACTGTAGCTAGCTGAGAAACCGTAGCGCAAAACAGCAGATTTTAACGATAGTGGAAGATCTTTAAAGTCACTGGTTAGTCTGCAGTGAGCCGTGGCTGTATTCATTTGGTACACATGCATGTTGAACCAAAAGACAGACATTTTCAGTACCACCACGTGTACCGTTACACCCCTAATAGATAGAGAGATATTTTATTCATGCCTTTTGGAAAATTCAAGGTATCAATACTTGTTAAATTTAAGAAAAAATAAGCACAATAACATCCAAGTCATGCTGGTAGAAGACTAAGTTAAGGTGCAAGAAAAAAACGATAGTGCTGGTACAATAAAAAATTAAAATACAGTGTGAGAATATAAAAATAAAAGGCATTTAGGAGGTGGAGCTTTTGTCCTGGCCGACCTTGGATTGTTGCTTTATTGCCCAGTTGAGTCGCTGGAGTGTAGCAGCCAACGGTCAAGTCATGAGCCTTCGACTGAGGTGTTACGGTAAACGAGGCTTGTAGGAAACTAAGGGTCGTCCGTACTGCTCTGGGTTTATGGTGAAACTGCAAACCTGACAGTTGTCACAAAAACTAAAGCTGAACGCTGGGTGTTTTTCCAGAATCGTGACTCATGACGTTAGTGTTCGCATTCGTCATCACACCACCTCACGTCAAATGTCGTCTCCAATGTCTCGAGTAAAGCCCACGCTGTTTCCGTCTTGTCCAGGTCTTGCTGTCTTGCCTTTTCCACATCATCCAAAAGGCCCGTTACATTGCCTCCAACTACAACAGTGCCTTCTTCAGGGCCGAGCACAACGCCACCGAGTTGGAGGCGTACGGCAGCGCCCTCTGTCAGCTGCGAGCGCTGCTTCACCTCGCCCAGCGCCTCATCAACGACAACCACCACGGCCAGCTGTACTCGCTGCAGGACGAGGATCTGAGCCGCAGGTTTGTGCAGGAGTACAGCTCCATGCACAAGGCCTGTTTCTACGGCCGCTGTCTGGGCTTCCAGGTCAGACAACAGCACTGATTTACCAAAGTTTACATGCACATGTAAAAGCCATGTACATCAGGGCAGTCTTGAGCTCTCAATGACTCCTGTAGCTCTGATTTACTTTGATGGACTCATTGAAACACATGCGTCTTTGTCATGTGTTTGGTTCTTTCATAGATTTATTTAAGGTCCTTTGGGAATATGATAAAGTCTGATGGGTCAAAAACATACATCCAGCAACCTAGTGGCCTCTTTGCTTTTTGTAAGTGATTCCAGTTGACTACAGCTACTGACTCTTCTGAGCTGATTTAAATTGAACCCACTTGATCCACTCATTAGACTCAAACACTGCAGTGAGAAAATCTGAGGAGCTCATCTAAGATCTGCAAAAATCTAATCACTGACTTGAAAAAAACATAGAACAGTCACTTGGAGTCATTTCAAAGCATCTTCAGATCCCAAAACCAACCGTGGACACAATTGTAAGTAACAAAGTTCAGAAACACGTCTGGAGGAGAGAAGGTGAGGCCTTTAACCCCAAGAACACCAAATCAAGCATGGAGGTGGCAGCATCATGCTCTGGGGCTGTTCTGCTGCCAGCTTTTCGAGATTCAAGACTTTCATTTGTCACAAACACAATTTTACACAGCATAGCGCGCAGTGAAATGCATGTAGCAGAACGAAACAATCATAAGAAGCAGAATAAATGGATGGATGGATGGATGGATGGATGGATGGATGGATAGATCTTGGGCACAGTTGGATGTTCCAACCAGACAATGAGCCCAAACACATCAAAGTAGTGAAGAAATGGTTCCATCAGGCTGAATGAAGGTTCTAGACTGGTCTCCCCAAAGTCCTGACAGAACAAATTTACGCAAACTAGAAGCTTGTAGATGGGTATCAAAAGTGTCTAGTTGAGATGAAAATGAGCAAAGGACACTTAACCCAATATTAGCGTTTCTGTATATATATTTTTGACCCAGCAGATTTAGACGTTTTTCCAGAAGACCTTTAATAAATCTATAAAAGGACCATAATGCATGATTGTTTATATTGTGACAAAGACTCACGTTTTTCAGTGATTATAGAAGTCATTGGAAACTCAAGACTGCCTTAACAGACACGGTCCTTACAAGCAGATGTAAACTTTTGTTCATTTTCGTCCGATTATGTCACCAAATCTCCAACCAGCTTGTTGAAAAGTGTATTTACTCTTTGTATCGTTAAAATAGTTATTTCTTCTTCTTCTTCTTCTTCTTCTTCTTCTTCTTTCTTTCTTTCCACAGTTCTCTCCTGCCCTTCGTCCGTTCCTCCAGACTGTTGTCATCAGCATGGTTTCTTATGGAGAGACTTTTGGAAAACAGCAGTCTGGCTTAGGTGAGGCTCTTAGTTTTTATTTTATGAAGTCATGTCACCAGTTTTTATACAGCAGGTTTAGGACAGCATCTGTTGCTCCAAAGTGCTTTCCAATTTAAAAAAAACAAAAAACAATTAGATTTGTGTCTTAAATTAACCTTAAGAGTAAAAATATTGGGGATGAGACCCTGTGGTGTTTTTTATGGTGTGATTTTACCTGTGTAATTTACATATAAGGGATTAAACCCTACAAAAATTATATAATATACGAGTATATTTATATAAAACATGCTATTGACAGGATACTAATAAAGTGGGTGACTGGATTTCTGATTTCCAGGAGCTATAAGCCACATTCATCCAAATTAGAATATATAAAAGTTCACCTTTTTGAATTAAATGAGGGAAAAAATGAACTCTTTTACTATGTTTTAATGCTTTGAGATGCACTGGCATTCAAAGGCTGAGACCCTACAGAGATATTAATGATGGAGATGAATATAACTAATATAATAATCTAGCTAAGGTATTAAAAATAACAGAACTTAACCAAGCTAATGCAAATATTAGAGCTTATTTAAGTGTTTCTTTCCTCTTCTTAAGATTATTAATAGTGTTATAAATCATGCAACTTAGCCTAACTAATATAAATGTTGTTATAAATAACAGCAAAGGGGATGATGCAAACATTTGAGAAATATTAGTAGAAAAATACAAATAAATCAAAAATATACATAAGTACTGGGTCGGATGGGAAATACTAACATTGCACATAGTGATGGTGATTCTTTAATGAGCACAAATACTGATAGAGAAGTACAAACATCGAACAAATTTAAGTCGACAAATAACAACATTGAACAGATTCTAGCATATTATTATGTTATTTATTGGCAGAACTTAAATTCTCACGTCTTTTTTTTTTTGTTTTTTTTGCCGTTTTCAGTTGTTAAAAAGAGTTTTTCTCTCGCTGCAGGCATGGCAGCTCTGTCTCTCCTCACATCAGGGAAATACGTGATGGATCCAGAGCTACGAGGCGCCGAGTTCGAACGCATCACCCAGAACCTGGACCTGCAGTTCTGGAAGTCCTTCTGGAACCTGACGGAGTCCGGCCTCATCGCGGTAGGCTGCTCCTCCGGTCGCATCTTTGTGACTACGGTGGCCCAGAAGTGTCACAACAAAACAAAAGCCACAACACAACACAATAAGCCACAACACTACAAAATAAGCCACAACACAACACAACGGCTTCAACGGAAGTTGTTCGCAGCGGAAGTGTCCACATTAACAAGTCAAACAAGCAATGACTCTTTATTTGTAAATCAAAGTTAACAACCGCTTTAATAGCACACACCGAGATTAATGGACACTATTTGCCATCAGTATTTTACTTACTTTCGAGTTGTTTCAAACAATCTCCAGCTTCTGCCCACTTCGTGTGGTTGTGCACTTCACAGTATAACTTCCGGGTTTAAAAAAAACAACTTCCATTGCAGCCGTTGTGTTGTGTTGTGGCTTATTTTGTAGTGTTGTAATTAATTTTGTTGTGTTGTGGTTAATTTTGCAGTGTTGTGGTTAATTTTGTGGTGTTGTGGTTAATTTTGTGGTGTTGTGGTTAATTTTGTTGTGGCTTTTGTTTTGTTGTGACACTTCTGGGCCACCGTACGTGACGCTCTTTGAATCTGTCTCCGTCTGCGCAGGGCTTCAGCAGGATCGCCTCCAACCCGGTGCAGGTCAACCTCACCCTGACGCTGCCTCCTGTTGCCCTCCGCCTCCCTTTAGCTGCAGATCCCAGCCTCACCACCGCCATTTCCCCTCCGATCGCCCACTGGGGCCCCGGACCGGTGCACACGCGACTCGTCTCCTGTGAGCTCCGAGAAGGACAGGTGAGGGTTAACGATGGGAGGTAAAAGCACAGAATACCGAATAACGTCTTTTGAATCCCTTTTTAGAACGTACCTTCACCAGAGAGCCTTTCCTGATTTTACATGAGTTTTAATTCTCTTGAACTGTCTTTTATTTGATTTATTATATGTTTTTAGCTTTCCTACCCATGCAGATATTTTTGACGTTAAATATAAAGTTGGTGAAAATGTAAAGTTAAAAGGTGACTTTAAGTTAGATTTTTGTTAAATAAGTTGTGTTTCGTGCATTGCTGCTTTGTTTCCTGTATTGTGTATTACTTTGTGACTTCTCTTGTCTTTTTCCAGGACAGCGAAGAGCTTCGGGCCTTTTCCCGGACCGATCCTCCTCCGATCTCCGTGTCCAGCCTGCCCTGGGTGCAGAAGCAGCCGCCATCCCCCTGGCTGCTCATCCACTTCCACGGAGGAGGATTCGTGGCCCAGACGTCCAGATCCCATGAGGTACGCAACACTGCTGGTTTTAACTTAATCTGTAAACATTATCCCAAGTTAATTTCTGTTTTTTGTCTGTTAGTTTCATTATAATAATACTAACTGGCTCTAAATTCTACGAAGCAGCAGTTTGATTTGCAGCTCATCTTTTATTCTCAATCACCAGAATTATCTCCGGAGCTGGTCCAAGGAGCTGAACGTCCCGATCCTCTCCGTCGATTACTCGTTATCGCCCGAAGCGCCTTTTCCCAGAGCTCTGGAGGAGTGTTTCTACGCCTACTGCTGGGCTCTGAACAACTGTCACCTGCTGGGTCAGTGCAGCGTTTGGCTCAGATTGACTGATAAATCTGATGAATGAAGCCATGCAAAGTTCTGCCTTCATACTATGAATATTTCCAGAGCTCCAGGCCCTTGAAGGTCCAGATTTATCACTTTAATGGACTTTTTCCATCATTTCTGAGCCTCAGAACTTTATCAGTACAGCAGATAGACACATGACATTTAGGAGGAAGAACACATCTGAGTTCTGCGAGAACCTGACACCAAACCACCGACTGACACAAACAGACACAAGATCAGTACAAAAGATGCAAAATTACCACAAAAAAACACCAAAAATTCCACAATGAGAGAAAAAAACAATCACAAAAAGACACAAAATCACCACAAAAAGACAAAATTGCCACAAAAAATATAAAAAATCACAACAAAAAGGGCCAAATTTACCACAAAATGACCCAAACAACACCACAAAAAGAGGTGAGTGCAACACATAAAGACACAAAATCTCCACTTCAAGGCAAAATTACCCCAAAGACTCAAAATCACTACAAAAAGGACTAAAATCACCACAAAAACACACAAAATTACTACAAAAATAAGGACCAGAACGGTTTTGGTCAGTTCTACATCCATCCAGGTGTCTCAGTCTGAACACTGGACCTGGTTCTGTTCATGTCCTCTGTCAGCAGCTGGTAGCATCAGTATTATGGGATGTGTCATAGTGGTAGCAGTCTAATGTCTATGACACAGAGTCATAGAAACAATCATTGGTACCCTGGATGTGGTTCTGGTTCTGATCANATAGAAACAATCATTGGTACCCTGGATGTGGTTCTGGTTCTGATCAGTCACCAGAGGAAACTTTACAAAGTGCATTCTGGGTAAACTTTCCAGGCTCATATCAGCATGTGGGATGGTGGTTGGTCAGAACCAGTTCTAGACGATGGAAGGACCAGTTTATCTACAGAACATCTGGACATGATTCCTACTGCGTCAGAAGGATTTTCTAATATCAGCATATTGTGAATGTAGCTTCTGACAGACACCTGGATGGATGTAAAACTGATCTGGTGTCAGGTTCTACCAGAACTCAGATGTGTTCTTCCTCCTAAATGTCATGTGTCTATCTGCTGTACTGATGAAGTTCTGAGGCTCAGAAATGATGGAAAAAGTCCATTAAAGTGATCAATCTGGACCTTCAAGGACCTGGAGCTCTGGAAACATTCATAGTATAAAGGTAGAACTTTGCTTCATTAAAGATACTAAAGTTTTTGCACATTACACAAAATCAGCACGTGATTAAATCTCTTTGAACTCGAATGTAAACGCTGTTGTAGAATCTGAGCAGTGTAACAATTGATGCATGTTTGCTGCAGCTATAAATAGCAAACGTACACCGTGTACTAGTTATATGCAGTACTACCTTTGGTGGAGGGGGAGGGGCAGCGGCGCTTTGTGCTGAATGCATTTTTTGTCAGCATATTATCTGAACATAGAACTCAGATAGTGACATGTGTTGAGTCACGGAGGAAGAATGTGGAGGAATTTATAGAAGCAGGGAATCACACTGACAGGAGTAGAGTTTAAATAGTATTAAGGCTGCAACTGAAGAATGTTTGCATCAGTTATATGCTTGTTGATTAAGTTTTCAGCTGTTTACTCTATAAAATGGCCAACGGTACACCTTCAAATTCTTTATTAAGGGCAAAAACCTTCACCAAACAGCCTTTTTGTGTAACAGTTCTTGTTTTTTCCTGTTATAATTGGAGTTATTGCAGTTATTTGGATGCAAACAGTTCATTTTTTTGTGTTTCAGGCTCCACGGCCGAGCGGGTTTGCCTGGCGGGCGACAGCGCCGGCGGAAACCTCTGCATCACCGTGTCCATGAAGGCCGTATCCGCCGGCATCCGAGTCCCCGACGGCATCATGGCCGCCTACCCCGCCACCCTGCTCACCACCGACGCCTCGCCCTCCCGCCTGCTCACGCTCATTGACCCGCTGCTGCCTCTCGGCGTCCTCGCAAAATGCCTCAATGCCTACGCAGGTGTGTGGGTGGAAGGGATTTGTTTGCGCCGTTTGACGCCTCATTTAACACCAAAAAGTGCTCACGGGCGCCGCTGAAGACAGAAAACAGAACATCGGGAGGATTATTTGTGTGTAAATCAGATAATGTGGGAGGAAAGGTTCCAATTTTTAAATATTTTAACAACATGTTCATGTGGACTCATTGGTAGGAAACAAAACCTGGTGTTCATAGGGGTCTATATGTTGTTATTATGGGTGCAAAGTTACAAGCTGCTTCCATGTTGTCTTCATGATGAAACTGAACTATACCCGAGGCTTTAAAGAAAGCTCCCATACAGATACTTGAAATGAAAATAGTTCAACACACATCACAATAAATCCAAAGTTGATGTCGTGACAAGAAACAGGAGCTCAGTGCTGCACTAAAGCAACGACAGAAAACACAAGTCGTCGTTTCTCAGTAAATTTACATTTCATTTATTTGTAAATTCAGCAGAATTTAGTTTTGGGTCTAAATTAACAAATACGAGGCGTGTCAGAAAAGCTTCAGGACTGGTGTCACAAAAGATGTATTTCAAATCTAAACTACAAGTGTTTCCCTTCGTAGTAATCCTCCTGGAGTCTAACACACTTCTCCAGCCTTCTCTTCACACCGCCATGCACTCCTGGAAGGATTCTTCCGGGATTCTTCCTCCTCAGCTCCGTCGTCACAGCCATCTTGATGTCGTCCACGTCTTCTAAACGGGTCTCCTTGATGAGCCCTTGAGTTTGGGGAAGAAGAGACAATCCCACAGAGCCAGGTGGGCTGAGTAGGGAGGTTGCTCCGGCACAGAGATGCTCTTCTCAGCCAGGAGCTGTGGGATGCTCTGGGCGTTGTGAGCAGGTTGTCATGGTGAAGCAGCCACCACTGGTCCTGCCACAACTCTCACCTCTTCTGAACAAAGCAAACGCTGCAGGATCTCTTTGTAGACGAGCTGGTTGATCGTCTGAAGGGGAAAACTCCTGGTTTGTAGTTTGAAATCTATCTTTTGTGACGCCAGTCCTGGAACTTTTCTGACACTTCTCTGAGTACAATCTGACACGATGCAGCAACATGTTTCTGAATTCTGTCTGTTGTGACCCAGACTGACCCACCTGCTGTCATATCTCACCTGTGTTGCGTTCCCGGTTCAGGTGCAGAGTGCCAGTCGGTCCAGCCCGCGGTGGGCAGCGGCGGTCTGAGCTCTCTGGGCCGAGACACCGCCATGCTGCTCAGCGACCTCACGCACGGAGCCTCCAACTGGATCCAGTCCTTCCTGGACCCGACACGGACCTCAGACGCCGGCCGGTCCCCGTCACAGAGACGGATCGACGCCGGCAGAACCTCCGCCGTCGCCTCGCCGACGAACTCCGGATGCCACGTCGAATACCCAGAAGGCTTTGAGCCGCTGCGCTCCGAGTGCCTGGCGTTTGTTCGGCCAACGTCCTGCCCAATCATCAGGAACCCGTTTGTGTCGCCACTGCTGGCGCCGAACAACCTGCTGAGAGGCCTGCCGCCAGTTCACATAGTGGTAAGAGACGGAACCGAGGGGGGAGGAGGAAAGATGTCCTCGTAGGAAAGCACGGAGCCCGTGATCCAATACAAATCATCAGAGAAAAGAAAAGAAAAAAAAAAAAAAAAAAAAACAGAACACCCCCCACAAGGCCAAAAAGGCGAAATCACAAAAGCAAAAGCACCAAAAGAAAAACAAGAAAACAACTATAAATTAAAGAGACGAGGTCTATACACTATATAATAAACAATAGAAATAAGAAAAACAGATGAACACGAGGATACTGAGAACACAAAATTAAGAATATTTACCTGAATGAGTTGCACTGACTACGAAGTATCTGCAAAACCACGTCCCAAACTGGCACCAGTCTTGGTCCATAGCTTCCTGTCTGAAGCAGAAACATTTCCACACAACTGATGTTTGATGAAAATGTTTTGGCAGAATTTCAGACCTGCAACGTTCTGTATGTTCACCCTCCTAAAACTTCTTAACTTGAGAAGCCACTTTCCGGAGTCAGTATCTCCAGAAATTTTTACTCCAACAGTCATGAAATTTAAGTGCACATTATTTACTTGCACCCTTCAAATACCTTAAAATTATCAAGACCAATCCAGTGTATGTATCTGCAATGCATGAAGGAAAAAAACGGTATTTTTCTGCATCCAAACTGTTCCTTATTGTTGTTTTTACTTTGCAAAATAACAAATTTATCCCACTTCAACTTAGTGCAGCTTTGGTGTTTGTCTTTCAACAAAACAAGTGAGTAAACTGTCTAAAATATGTCTTTATAAATAGCTAAATGATCTTTATTTATAGAGCGCTTTTCACAATCAGAGTTACAAAGTGCTTCACACGGCAGCAAAGTTAAACAGACGAGCTTTTGTTCTTCAGTTTTAAATATTTCCACACTGCAGAAAGCGTAGCTGTATCCTCCTGACTGCTCTCCTTTCACATCGCCTGTGAAGGAAAAAGTCGCTACGGATCAATTAAAAATGCTTCCATTGGCCCCAGTCGCTAAAATCAGATCGGGATATTTACGTTACCAATTGTTGAATACATCTTTTTCTACCACGAGTGGCAAACAAATAAAGGGAGTAATAATTAAGGTTTGTGGCCAGATAGTTGCTGAATAAATCTGAGAAGTTAATTCATTCAAAGGGAATATTTGTGCACAACGAGCACCTCATACGCTGCTCAGGGAACTCATACATCGTTTATATACGCTGTGTAATTTATTGAGAGCAAAACGACGTAAGAATGAGCAGTGGAAACCAAAATTATTGAGCCGCTGAGGAGGAAATTCACAATCGCTTCCTAACTGGACAGATATCCTAGAAATATTGCTGATGTAGTGTTTTTTTAATTAAATTTTATTCGAGTATTGTGTCCATCTGGTTCAAATAAAAAAAGAAAAGTCAATGTGCCAACTTCAAATCTTCCTTTCTGTACTCTCTGCTGGTCCACCTGACATTTGTTTTTTCCTACAAACTTAACAGCACCGATCCAGAGCTGCACTGATCGATGAGTAAAGCGATGGAGCTGCAGAAAATCTCGCAGCTCAGCTCAGCGGCAGCAGAAAGACATTTTTCAGCAGATAAATAAAGACGGCAGCCCCCAGACATCGCTGATGTAGGAGTTAGTGGAGGGGGAAAGAAGCAGAATAAACGCCAGACTTTGATTTGTTCCTGCTTGCATTTCTCTGCATCTGCTGGTCCTCTAAACAGACTTAAAGGGTTTTGCTTTTTATTTTGTGTTTTCAGTTTATTTGGCTTTTCAGTGCATTTTTTCTGACTTTCTCGGAAGTCACTGGTTTCTACTTCATGTCTGTTTATTTTAAGTCACTTGTCACTATAAATTTTTTTTAAAAAAAGTCACATTAAGTTCATTTTTAACACAAAAGGTGCAGAAAATATTGGAAACATGCAGATGAGCCTAAACTGCAATTTATGCATTCACACCATAGAAGCAAATTTAAAAAGTAAGCAGTAAAATATTAAGAGTAGGTCACCATTTTTTTTTTTGTATTGGTAAAAACCTGTGGGGAAAAATGTTCAATTTTTTCCTGAAATTTAACATTTTTATTATGATTTCTGTCATTCAAAGACTCTAAGAGCTCTCTGCCCTTCTAGTCGTGGTTGTTCTGTTTCCATAGAGCTGCAGGACTTAAAATGAACCCACAGTGAGGAAAAACGTAACCGGAGCAAAAAACGCGAGGAAGCAGCTCAGTGTTAAGATGAAAAAATACCATCGCATGACATTTTATTTCTTCTGTTTTGCACTCAGAAGTCCAGAATCGAGAATGCAGACAGCGGAGTTCAGATTCTGTTCTTGTCCCTGCAGGCCTCGGCGCTGGACGCTCTGCTGGACGACTCGGTGATGTTTGCCAAGAAGCTGCGAGACATGAACCAGCCGGTGACCCTGACGGTGGTGGAGGACCTTCCCCACGGCTTCCTCAGCCTGTCGCAGCTCGCCAAGGAGACCGAGGTCGCCACCGACGTCTGCGTGGCGAGAATGAGGGACATTTTTCAGCAAGAAAACCCGACGCTTCAAAAACCGCCAAAGGCTGGAGACTAACCACAGTGCCAATCCGTCAGGCCGATTTCTCAGTCACCGCCGGAGACTTTTACAAGAAAAGAGGTTCGATGTGGTGAGCGTGGTGTCGTGAATTTAGCAAAAAAAAAGGAAACAAATGTGAGGAACTGTGAGGATGCAATGGAGGAAAACATTCTGCACTTTAACCCTGCGCTGCTGAGCACTAAAACCATCAGCCTTCTACAACCAGCTCTGATATCAACCTCAATAGAAAGTCTTTTTCTAATAAGACGCACAGCAAAGATTCAGACCAGCCGCACAGTCAGAACAATACACTCAGAACACATCACCATGACCAGCTCTAGCAGTAACATATGTGAGTTATGGCAGCTGTGCCTTGAATGTAAAGCTTTGCTGAACAGCCTAAAGAAGACAAGCTTCGGTTTGCATCGCCTACGTTATCAAACTGACCAGGATTAAAGCTTTAATCATACGGGAAGCTCCTTCCAGATGCACTGTGTTATAATATTTGGACTAAATGTACACATTGACTGGATTTTCCAGTTTGTCACATGTTTACAACATATTGAAAAGGAGGCCTTCACCTTGTGTTTACCAGCAGAATCTGGATTTTAGCGTGAACGTGACTTGCTGTAATGTAAATTAATGATTTGAATTTCACTCTGTTGTTATATTTAAAGCCTGTGTTAAATCAAAACTGCAACGACTGCTTCTGCTTGTTTGCGGATTTTTTGACATTTTTTTTTATGTTGAGCAGCTAATCAGTTGGCACAACATGTTCTGTTCTGCAGCCGCCTGATAAACCTCTTGGGTCATTTTAGATAGTGGTGTTGCTCCATCGTCGCAGATTTTGTTCAGAGTTTACACCTTAAAGGGTTCAATATCTCTAGAAATGAAACTCCCACAGCTATGAAACTTGGTGAGAACACAGATAGAACAAGTTTCAGCAGATCTAGATGCTTGAATGGTTCCAACAGAGGATGATTTTTTAATTACTGGCTGTTGAAAATAGAAAAGAAAACATCCCCACATCATGCTGCTGCCACCTCCATGCTTGAAGGTAGGGACACTGTGTGAGGCCAAACTTTTAATTATTCCTCTTTGAAAACTTTAAAAAACAAAGTTTTCAAACAAAGTTGGTGTTGTGGCCCCAGAAAGTTCCTGTAAGTGTATATATATGTGAATGTGTTCATATTTCCTACTAAAAATACCCTTTTTGTTTGACATTTCGTCAACTTTTGAGGCTCTAACATCAGAGTGTGACAGACAGAGTTCCAGTTTTTAGATATTTTGACCAAATGGTGACGTGGTCTCATTGGTAGGAAACAAACTCTAGTGTTTATAGGGGCCTTTATATTGTCATATGTGCAAAATAGCAAGGTGCTTCCATCTAATGTAATTAAGATTTACCCTGAAAATTAATCAAAAGTATTTGCTAAAATTTAGTTGTGGGTCCCCTAAAAAACAACAAACTACGGTAAGATGGTGCATCAACATATTTTCTGAATTCTGTCTGAACTGACCCTGTTAAATTTACACATAAATCAGAAGTTTTATTATTTATTGATTCATCTCCCAAACTGGAAATAGTATTTCAGAAGGTATTTTTTTGGAAACACCATAAAAAAACGAAAATTTTAAAAAGACTGTGTTGAATTGAATTTTAAGAGGTTACTGTGCAGGTTTTTACTGACAAATTGCCAAATTAGTTCTTATAAAATGATAAAACTGGACTCTACTGTCAGAATAACGGCTGGATTTGGGGTTATTCAGCACAGCTTGGCGTTTCCCACCCTCACACCACATCAGCTGTTTTGTGCTGTTTGCTCGTCTGGGAGCTCAGATATGAATTGTGAAGCTTTTTCAGAATCTTCTATTGGCTCTCCCTCGACATCAGCTGTCAGTGACGTTAGGAGGGAAACCAAATAAACGTAAAGCGTTACAGGAGACGCGTCTCAGTCTGCAGACCACCGCCACCATGTTCTTCCTGCTCTGTGTGTTGGCGGCTACAAACGGTGAGTGAAATTCTGCACACAGGAGTTGAGGTTAAAATAAACTTTATTGATTCTTCACTGAGGAAATTTACACGTTTCCAGCAGCTGCATGTGAAACGAAGAATTATAAAAGTACTACTTGGATAAAAATACAGATATAATAAATATACAAGGCAGAGTTCATTTACATATTCATAGATATGACCTTGTGAATTTACATAGTGTTATGTAAAGATATGACATGGTGAATTTACATATACAAGCATATGACATGGTGAATTTATATATACAAGCATATGACATGGTGATTTTACACACGTACAGATATGACATAGTGAATTTACACTGTTGCGTACTTTTTACATTTCCAACATGTTGTCAGTGTCAGTCTTTGCTCCAAACCTTTACACGGCCTTGACAATTTGAGTTGTACCTGCAGTGTTTATGCAACAGATCCACTTGGTTTTTGCACTTTTTCTTCTCATTTCTGCACTTTTGTGTCCATCAGCCGTCCTCGGCTTCGATGATAAGATTGTCGGCGGCTACGAGTGCAGGGATCACTCCGTCCCCTGGCAGGTGTCGCTCAACAACGGCTGGCACTACTGTGGAGGAACCCTGATCAATGAGCGCTGGGTAGTCAGCGCTGCACACTGCTTCAAGTAACTCAGTTCAACCTGCAACAACCAGCTGCACAACTTCCTGTGTATCTGCTCTTCCTATGTTGTTGTTCTGTTTCTTTGCCAGGGGTATGGACATCGAGCTGCGTCTGGGTGAACACCACATCAGGTACAAGGACGGCCCGGAGCAGTTCATCGCCCCCGCCGCCGTCATCCCCCACCCAGAGTACGACCGCTACACCATCAACAACGACATCATGCTCATCAAACTGGCCGAGCCTGCAACGCTGAATGAGTTCGTCCAACCGGTCGCTCTGCCTTCCAGCTGTGCTCCAGCTGGAACCCAGTGCCTGGTGTCTGGGTGGGGGGCCACCAAGAGTCCCTGTAAGTCAGTGTTCCAGCAGCAGCATTTTAAATGAGCTGCAGAAGTCCAATGGTCTGACTGAGGATTGGTTTCAGTAGCTCCTAGTTTCTACAGGTGATAAAAGCATGAAGGAGTTCTTCTAAATCTTGCTTGGCCTCAGTGTTCTTAGTTTTTATTGACAAAAAGAATTATTTCTGTCTTGTCTTTATTAAGTTGAAGAAAGTTTTGTTACATCCAGTTCAAGATGAGGACAAGCGACCGGTTTCATTCGGTGACAGATTTAGGTGGAGTGGTAACCGTGACAGGAAACGCGAAAGCTATGAAAAATGAGAAACAAGTACAGATTACATAGGAGGGGCCCAAGAACTGATCCTTGTGGGACTCCTTGCATCACTGAAGTTCTTTCAGATTCATAGTAACCAAATAGTGCAACATTTTGCCAACTTTCGAGGTATTACCAGTACTCACTACATATCCCTCACTTTCTAGGTATTAGCAGTACTTGCTACGTATAATCCAGTTTCTTGGTATTATCAGTACTCACTAAAGATCCTTTACCTTCTAGGTATTACCAACTCTCATTAGATATCCCTACTTTCTAAGTTTTACCCACTTTCTAGTTATTAGCAATACTCAGTACGTGTACCCCAGTTTCCAGATATTACCAGTACTCACTACATATTCCCAACTGTCTAGGTATTACCAATATTTACTACATATTCCTCATTTTTAAGGTATTAGCAATACTCACTATGTATACCCTGTATTACCACTGCTCACTACATACCCCAACTTTCAAGGTATTACCAGTACTCACTACACATTCACAACTTTCAAAGTATTACCAATATTCACTACATATTCCCAACTTTCTAGGTATTACCAAAAATCATTATGTGTTCCTCATTTTCTATCTATTACCAATACATGCTAAGTATACCTCAGTTAGGTATTCCCAGTACTCCCTACCTGTTCCCTGCTTTCTAAGCAAGATTCAAGCGTCCTCAAGGCTGATCCTGAGAGCCTGACATAGTTTTTCAGTCTAACTATGAGTACTTCACATCCACAGTGTCAAATGTCGCACTAAGATCTAATAACACCAGAACTATTCGACACCCCTGATCATTATCCATGCTAATGTCATTTTAAACCTTGATGAGATATGACAACAGTACGTCATTGATGTGAACACTGTAGCTGCAGATGTTAAGATAAGATGAGACCAGTGTTTCTTTTAAAACATGTCTTCCTGTCCCAGTCGGCTGTCTGAAGTGCCTCCACTGCCTGGATCTGCCCATCCTGGCCCAGGAAGACTGTGAGCGCTCCTACCCCGACAGGATCACCGAATCCATGTTCTGTGCCGGCTTCCTCGAAGGGGGAAAGGACTCCTGTCAGGTACCTGTTTCAGCCTCTACACTGACTCTGATGTCTGGTTATTGACCTGTGAAAACACTTTTAAAGTACTGGCCCTTGAAAATAGAAAAAAAACAACATCCCCACATTATGATGTTGCCACCGCCATGCTTGACGGTAGGGGCAGTGTGTGAGGCCAAATTTTTAAAAAAGTTATTTTTATAGCATGTTTAACCCTCTAAACCCCAAAACTTGTCTGCATTTTTAAAAGGTCAGGTTGTCTTTAGAAAAATCGCCACCTTTCCAGTGATCCTTGACCTAATCTAAGCTTAAAGTTGTTACATTTCATCAAAACCACTTTCGTCTCAATCACTTCTTTAAAAAAATTATCCAAAAATAAACCATTTACACCAGATTCTGTGTAAAACAAGAACTTCTGCGCTCCTTGGTGCAACTTTAAGGCCACAACTGATGCTGTTGAGCCAAAGCGTTTTACAATAAAGACATAATATTACAAATTTGCTGAACAAGTTTAATTATTAAGCTTATATGTTTTGCAAATTTGCTTACACTAGCGTTGTGTTTTTAAATGATTGTATTACTCTCATACACTAGAGGTCTGTGGTGCTACTGAATAAGTGTTTTTTTTTCCTATTGCCTCCACCAGGGAGACTCGGGCGGCCCTCTGGTGTGTAACGGGGAGCTCCAGGGTGTGGTGTCCTGGGGATGGGGCTGCGCTGAGGAGGACCGGCCCGGTGTTTACGCCAAGGTACGTACAGTGGGCCGTTAGGAGCGAAGAACGACGTGTGCTGTGTCTAAAATGTTCCCGTCTGTAGGATTAGTGCCTTGTTATCTCTTCAAGGATTTATTTGGAGGTGAAACTTTGCTTTTCAACAGTTCATTTTCGTCTGATGTTGTTAAAACTTCCACTGCAGTAAGAGCAGTTCTGAATCTCTTGTTATCTGCAAAAAACACCCAAACCTAATGAAATGCTCTGACCTTCTGCCACAACAATTTATGAGCTTTTTCTTCTTTCTTCTATTTAAACAATCTCTGTTTCTCTGCACAGGTCTGTCATTTCACCGACTGGATTCACTCCACTATGGCCTCAAACTGAAGTTCTTCTGTCAGCTGCTGTTGACACACTGATTCTGCTTCATATGAGGAGCATATTGAAACAGTTTAAATGACCAGTTCATGACTTGTGTGGCTGTCTGTGGGTAAAGATTTAACAGTAAAATACCACCATGATGAACGGCAGACAATGTTTCTTGCTTCATGCAAGTTTATTTCATGTGTCCTTTGTCATAAAAGTGTATAAATAAATTTTCAGTTCATTAACCTTTTTTCTTTTTCTTTTTACTGTATTTTTACCCTAAAGTCCCCTCTGGTCATGCATTAAACCTCTACAAACTTGTTCTTGTGTACTTACTGACTTGTGTTGTGTACTCTGCATACTTCAAATAAGATAGAACCTAAATAGTTCTGAAGGATTTTTTTTAATGCAGCATTACAGCATTACATTTCTCAGCTCTTCCTATTTATAGTTTATTTGTTCTCTTTTTCTTCCTGTCATTTTTTTGGTGCTCTTTATCTTTTGTGCTCTGCATCCATACTGCTGCAACAATTGAGTTTCCCCATTTGTGGTGAATAATAAAGTCCAATCTAATCTAATCTAATGTAATTTTAAAAAGTAATACTCTCGTGTACAAGTATTATTGTACGTAATAATTAGCAATTGCACATGAAGATTAAATATTGCATGTGAAAATACAATTTTACATACAATGCTGAAATTGATATGGCACAAATTATTGAGAAATTAAAATTGAAAATGATATTATTGTTGTTTATATTTTAGAGTTTGATGATTCAGCTGTTTATCCTGCAGAGTTACGCAGTGTGAAAAGTTATAAGTAGTCAGACCTTGCAGGTATTTTGCATTAAATAGTATAATTACATAACTACTTAATTATGATAATTACTTTAAAGAGACATTTTAGTACCCAATAGGATGACTCTTACTACCACTGACCGAAACCTCAGTCATAATAGATAAACAAACCACTAGAAATCAGTGCACAACGTGTTGCAGTACCGACGAGTGACGGCGGGTGGCAGCAGCGCCGCGCAGAGTTTCATGTGATAAACAGGAGGGAGACACCGAGGAAGAGGAGACGAAGAAGAAGGCGACCATGTTGATTTAAAGGAAGAAGAAACACAATAGAGACGATTTATATCAAGAAAAAAATCAGTTACTGAAGCGAATTGTGAAAGAAGTAGTAGATCGACCGCACACTGAATATTCCTTGTAAAATAACAAAGAAACTAAGGTACGTTTGCAGAGACTCTGAAGCGGCCGCTTTCTGGTAAAAACATCCGAGTTGTTGTGGGCAGATGAGCTAACGTTAGCAAGTGGAGTTATTTGTGCTAAATTAGCCTTGAGGCTAGCTACGGTGCTAGTTGTGTTCCGATGTATCGGCAGTGACACACTTGGAAATAGTTTAACCAGAGCAAGATACAGCGTCGCCTTTGTCTGAACTTTATTAACACATCGTCATACTTTGTAATTTAATGCTCATTAAAAGTCAATTAGGGTTGTTAGCTCGAGGCTAACACGGGTTTAGCATTAGCCAACTCAGTTAGCTTAACGTAGCTAATGTGTCTCCTGAGACGCAGCATTAACTTGACGTTCGGATATTGATTTACCAATGAAGTTGAGTCAAATCTGACAAAGAGGCGCGAATGATTTTAATATTTTAAAGTTATTTGTCGTTAGCTTTTTGCAGAATTTGTTTGGAAAACCGAAAACAGCGGCAAAACTACGTTGACGTTTATCCGAACGTAAAATACGAAAAAGGTCGAAGCACAAGCCGACAGTCAGTAGTGAGAGACTCAGGCTGAAGTTGTCATGATGGGACCTCCGCAGCTCTGACACACTGCTGGGTTTCATAGTTTGTGTAAACCGATTATTCTATTTGTCACAGTCACATCTCGAGGTTTCTCTGTAGGTTATAGACTTATTTAAATCCCGGCGGTTTGTGCTCCGTTAATCTGCCCAGAGGACTGCCACCTGGCAGCTTCACCCGCACAATCTGAAACCATTTACTGAATTAACTAGTAAAGCCTTGTAGTTAGGACTGGCCAATACAACTGAAACATCTCTCACTTTTAAATGTTTCCTTTCAGTCCATATCGATAATTATTGATAACTTTTAATGACCTATTTTTAGTAAATAGCAGGAGTTTGATATGAATTGGCCTGCTTTAGCCAATTTGTCAAGATCCACAGGTGGTAATGTTAGTTATCAATGTAAAGTACACCTGGAAATAAATTTACAAGCATAAAATTAGTTTAATAAATGATGAAAACAAGTAAATCCTGAAAGTACGGTGCCCAGGGTGAAGCTGCTGCACCACGCTGAGGTTAGGATTCCTGTTGGCTCACCAGGACCAGGTACTGGACTGGGACCTTACAGTGGCATCAGGTCCATCAGTCTGGTCAGGCCAGCAGGAGGGTCACAGGGTCGGAGGTGGTGTTGGTGTTATTGTTGTTGTTGTTATTGTTGTTGATTAATAGATGAAACTCCTCTCGGGTCTCCTAAGGGATGCCATGGACTAGCACCCCTTAGGAGACCTGAGGGCTGCAGTTAGTGGGTTAGCGAGGTATGTTGAGCTGAACGCCAGAGTTTTCAGTGTCACGAAGGTGGCTCTCTTTTTACCTGGCTTGGTCTCCATGGTAACTGATGCTGTGGAGCTAACCTGGTCGGGAGCAGGTTATGTTCAGAGTTTCATATTTAAATCAGCTGGAAAGAGCGTCCCGCTTTAACCAGACCGTTTCATAACTATTATTTATGAGCGATCCAGATTCTCAGCTGAGGGAATGCGTTTATCTGCTGACATGCTAAGTTGTGTGTTACTAATATCACTGAATGAACCTGTGTAGTTACAATATCGCACACAGCCGATGGAGACGGAGACCGAGTGCTCCACACAGGCAGCACTTGGCTGCTGATGCCAGTTTAGGTTGGCGGTCTCAGTTCTGTTGCCACCATCAGCGGCGGGGGGTGTGCAGGCTGGGGCAGGTTGCGGGCAAATATATGTCATATACCACCACAACGACTGAATATTCGAATGTTCGGGTCCAGCCCTACTGTAAATATCACGTTGCCATGGGAACCAGACATCTTAAGTTGGTGATGCAGAAATCACATAAATATGTTTTTATGTTTGGCTCTGGTCTGCTGTCAAGTCCGTTTACTCTGGTGGTACTGCTGCTGATCAGATCAGATCAGAACATGGATTATTCTGCTGGTTTTGATTACTGAGAATATTCAGTCAGTAATATTAATTTCGCTCTGATTGGGCCAAAAATTAAAGCGAGATCCTGCGTTATGGGACAGTGTCAGACCTAAATGTGCTTCAATACACAATCATGTCTAAATGTATGACGTTTAAAGTTTAACTTCAACGTGCAGCTGTCAGTTGGAAATAATCGGCTGCATCAGTAAAATATTATATATGAACACAGTTGACAGTTTTCGACCAGAATTCCTGTCGTGCACCATTTGCAGTAGCGGCGCTTTTTACAGTCACATTTTTTTTACATATTCCTCATCGTTCTCCGTTAAAACAACGTGTTGACTGAAGCAGCTGCACACCATCGGTTCATTTTGTGAGCAGAGACTCATTATTTATTTGTTCACTATTAAATTTATCGTCCATTAATTTGTTAATCAATTAATTAGAGTATTTTTAAGAAAAAAAAAACGTAATTCTTTGATTCCAGTTTCTTACATGTGACGCTTTTCTGGTTTCTTTCCTCCATGATGACAGTGAACTGATTTTATTTGAGTTGTGGGCAAAACAAAACCATTTGGAGACATTTTGGGAATCACTGATCAGCACTTTTCACCACTTTGTCATCTTATAGACCAAACAGCTGATCATTTAATCGAGAAAACAATCCAGCGGTTATTCAGAATTTTAAATAGTTGCTATTTGCAACCCCAGTGTAAACATTAGCCTGTGATCAGTGGTGGTAAATAGATGTTGGCACACTTTTGACTAAGCGATGGACATGAATCACCTCTTAATTTGATATTTCAATTTTAAGAAAAACAACTCCAGCTTGGCATTTGTGAGGATTTGTTGTTGTCTTTGTCGTTGTTGATCATAAACTGCATTTCTTTGACAAAACAAGACATTTAAATGCATCATCTTGGGATTTTGGAAATGAATGTCACAAACTTCTGACCTTTATAAAGTGAAAATGGATAATCAAGATAGTAAACAGCATAAAGAAGGCTAACAGCTGTACCATTAGTCAGCTGTTTATGTTCTAATTTTGAAATCTTTTGCCTGATTTATTTCAGGTGACACATTCGAGTTGTTGGCTTTGATTTGAGGAGGCAGCTGGTTGATCACGGCCAACGCTCAGACACTTACAGACCGAGCTGAAGACCTGAGGCGTCGAGGGAGAGAAGGTCAAACACCCGGAGGAGAAAGGAAACACACACTGAAGACTCAACAAGGGTGGAAAGCTTTTTGGCTTTGGACTCGATAACCCCTTGTGTGATCTGTGATTTCAGGATCCTTTTGTTTTTTCATGCGTGGAGCGACCTCTAGCCACACCGTGGAAATATACAGAGAGCATTACAGACTATATGATTTTGGGGAAAAACTTGTACAAAGTTGGACTTCCTTTTTTCGAGAACAGGGATATTGAGCGATTCTTATGGACTCAAAGTGGAAACAAGAAATATTGTTCAATTTAGCAACAGAAGTTTAAGTATTGAACTCAGATTATATTGAAGAAGCTATTCCCCAAGTTCAGATTGCCTTAGTTGTTCTATTTCAGGACTTGAACCGCTTTGATACTTGTTCACATATAATTTTTCTATATTGTGGGCAAGTATATTCATGCATATGAATGCAAATTTCTCTTCATTTTGAAGAGCTCTTGTGTAAAAACGTGTTTTTTTTTGTTGTTGTTCTTGTACGTCAGTCACTCTGTTGTTGAAGGGGACCGAACTGCACGTACATGTGTATATGTAAATACTACGAATCCACTTCAGTTGTAAAAGCTTTGGACTTAAAAATAATAGAGAATATTGTTTGTTAATGCTTTATTAAACTTTTTTTACTTTTGAAGAGAATTTTTAAAAATAAAAACCTAAGAGGCAAAAATCTAATACTTGGAAGGAGAAGAAGAAAAATAAAAAAAAAACACAAGTAAGGAAAACAGGAAACATGGCAACCGCCAGAACAGAAAACGTCGGCCCGGTCGTCATGGGACTGAATAAGCAGAACGGGCAGCTCAGAGGACAGACCAAACCAGCTTCAGTCCCGCCAGCACCCACAACTCAAGGAAAGACTTTGGGTGCTCCCCAGAAAGCAGGCGGCGCCCCTCAGGACGGAGGAGGCATCAAGTTTGGAGACGACTGGAAAAAGAGCCTAAAGCTCCCTCCCAAAGACAACAGGGTCAAAACCTCAGTGAGTCTAACCTGATGGCTGCTTCTTATCGTCTTCTTTTTGATCTTGTTTGTCTCGTGTAATCCTGACTGTGCCGTGTTCTCTGCAGGATGTGACAGCCACTAAGGGGAATGAATTCGAAGATTACTGTCTCAAAAGAGAACTCCTGATGGGCATCTTTGAGATGGGTTGGGAGAAACCTTCCCCTATCCAGGTGAGGTTCAGTTTGTTGTTCATTCAACATTTCTTTCCTTTGTCCTCTCCTTCTGCCTCAGTGTTTATTTAATGGAGCCTTTTTGGAAACTGCCAGGAGCTTTTTTTTTTTCCTTTCATCAATATTTTCTTTTTAAATTCAGCTAAAAAATGACATATTTAAATACCATCTGCAGTATTTCTGACTGGAAACATACGACCTATTTTGGCTTTTGAGAAGGAGTTTTAGTTTTGGCTAGTTTAGAACCTAGTTTAGTCTAAAAAGAACCGAAACATCCTGGAAGAAGAACTCTGGGATCTTCCTTTTCTAAATAAAGGATAAATAGTATAAAATAAAATGAGAGAATTGGAATTTTCATGGCTATACTTTGGAGATGTTACAAATCAGTGCAGCTGTGTATTAGTTTAACATGTGGAACTATCAAAAACACAACCAAAGTGGTGTACGTTGTAAAATAGGAAACCATAAAGTTGTTTTTGTGCTTAGATTTCTTTATATCCAAGAGCTTCTGGTTCCTCGGTGCTCTCACTGAGGTGTTATGATGCAAGAATTCTGCTAAGTAAGACTTTAACCCTTTAAAAACAAACAAAACATTAAAAATCGAACCCGAAGCAGAGGGAAAGTGTGTTGTTTGACCATGTTTTCCGTTCCTTGTCAGAGGACAAGCAGCAGCAGTAAAAACACAAATCTTTCTAAATGCTCCTGTAACTGAGCTGAGTGGTGTAGCAGCGTTAGAATGAAGCGTCGATAGCGCAGCGTAGTGACAGAAGCTGCCACTGTTGGTTCCCTGCAGGAGGAGAGCATTCCCATCGCCCTGTCTGGACGGGATATTCTGGCTCGGGCCAAGAATGGAACAGGAAAAAGTGGAGCTTATCTCATCCCACTGCTGGAGAGGATAGACCTGAAAAAGGACCACATACAGGGTGAGACGCTGCCTGTGGCTCTGCGCTGCAAACATTTACCGCTGAATTCACTTTTGCTCTTCGTGCTTCCTTCACTGCCCGATCTGGACCCTGACATGATGCTTGTTTTCTGTATTTTTATGCACATTTTTCGGTGTCACATGAGAAAAAGTAAAATTCAAAGCTAAATTCAAAGAAGAACTCCTCCGATTAAAAAAAACAACAAAAAACATTAATTAACAATTAAGATTCAGTTCCACTTTTGTATTTCGATGTTTTTATGTTAATTGGCTTCTAGAAATCTAAATTTGTTATATTTTTAATACTCTTTTAGCCTACTGATTGTTGTTTTTTGTTGTAGTGATGCGAGCTGAGAGGAACGATATTTAGTTTAAAGAAATGACAAATGAATAAATCTCATGTCTTAACTTTTTCAAAAGAAGAATTAATGCATATTATAGGAGACAGAAATGCCTTTTTAGAACATATTCAGACATAGGAAATATTTAATTCACAAGACGGATTGCCTGTTTCTGTTTCTTTCTTTATCTTCATCAATTGAAAACTGCATTTTTAAAATTCCCAGTTGTGACATAAATAAGGGATTATTGAATATTTATTTACAATGTTTTTCAGGTAGTTTTAATATTGCTGTAATTTCAGGAATGTTTTAAGAGAATCCTTTAATGTCTAAATTTTAATGCTGTGCAAACATTTAAATCAAAGACAAAGTTTCTCGTATGTGGACGACGTTGTTGTTTTTTAAAATTTTTTTATTTGCAAATATCTAGTTTTGTTTCCACCTTCTTCGCTGTTTCTTGCCTAACCTGTCCTAAAGTTCTGACGCCACTATGCAGCCTAGTTTATTTGCTCCAGAGCAGTTAAAGGAAACAAGCCTGATTCACAGTTAGTTACTTTATTCTTTTTACCTTTATGTCCATCAAAATCGCTTAATAATTAACTACATCTAAACACGACTCCTCTCCTTACTGATGTGCTGTTTCCGTCTCTCCTACACTTTGTTTGTGTGTCTGTGAACTCGTGCACCGTCTGCCATGTTGCTAACCTCCTCGTCTTCATCTTCCAGCCATCGTCATGGTTCCCACTCGTGAGCTGGCGCTGCAGGTGAGCCAGATCTGCATCCAGATCAGCAAACACCTGGGAGGAGTCAAAGTCATGGCGACCACCGGCGGCACCAACCTGCGGGACGACATCATGCGCCTGGACGAGACCGGTAAGGATCCGTGCTGCTTCGTTGCCTCCTCGTCGTGGGTTTTATCCGTTAGCGGCGAATGCTAACAGCACACAGTAGTTAAATCATCTGCAGCCAGCTTCTCTTTGAGCTTCGGTTTACCCCAGAGTTATTTGTTTTTAAAAGGAAGCTGAAGACGGTTCTTTACGGCTGCTGTAAAGTCATCAGTGTCATTATTCTCTGCATTTTGATTCATATTTTTGTCATTTTATCGTATATTTTTATGTCTTATGTGTTTTTGTTTTCTCATCTGTGACTGTTCCACCTCTATGGAAACCGCCACAGTTGTTCTATTTCCATATTGGTGCAGGATTTAATACTAAGAAATGAGCCCACAGTGAGTGAAAATGCGATAGGAACAAAAAAAATTTAAAAAACACCCATAAAGTGCTGAGGGGTAGAGAGGGATAGCTATCAAATACCTTATTAGCTTTCATTCCTGTGAGTTTTAAATGCACTTTTAATTAATATTTTCCCATTTTATGCATATTTTATCGCTTCACGTGCTCTTATTTTCTCATTTCTTGTCTTTTTTCATGCGTTTTAGTCGGGTTCGTTTGGGAAAATAACCTTAACCATTTACTAATTTGTCTATTTTGATTTACATACGAGATATTTATGCGAGTATGACTAATTGTACTTTTATGAATCCTATCTTGTCTTATTCATCCTTATAGAGCAGTGGATCCTCATACGTTCCCTTTCAAGGACAGTGTAGGAATGTATAAATGGATTATTGCGAAAGCTTCAGTTTTCCTCCTGCAGACATGAGGCTCAGATCTTTTTTGAAATAAAAGGGTCTTAATTTTGGAAGCTCCTCACCTGACAGTGACAGTTTAGATTATTCTCTAAATCTGTGTGCACTTCATTCAACTCGTCTGTATTTTGATTTTTATTGCTTGTTTTATCTTCCTTCATGTTTGCCTGTGATGCATTTTGAATAACCTCAGCTTGTGATCAGGTGCTATACGACTGAACTAGCTTGCTGCGACTGCAGAAAGGTTGAACTGTGGTTCTGTTTTCAGTGCATGTGGTCATCGCGACGCCTGGTAGGATCCTGGACTTAATAAAGAAGGGAGTGGCAAAGGTGGATAGAGTCCAGATGATGGTGATGGACGAGGTAAAGTCAAGGCTTCTGTAAATACAAACCAGTGCAGCACAAAGCGTCTGTCGTCGCGGCATTTCAGCTGCCGTCTTTCTCATTCCACGCATGTCAACCTGAAGCAGGATTTCAGGTTGGAACAGCACTGCTTCATGTTCAAATGTCTCGTTCGCCCGCAGGCGGATAAGCTGCTGTCTCAGGACTTTGTGGTGCTCATCGAGGATATCATCAGCTTCCTGGCCAAGAACAGGCAGATCCTGCTCTACTCTGCAACCTTCCCCATCAGCGTGCAGAAGTTCATGGTGAGTAGTCGGCTAATTGCTGCGCCGCTCGTCCGACCCGATGGCTCGGAGCCACCTGGCAGCGCTCGGCTCAAACTGCAGACCAAGCTGCTCTCACACTGCGCTCAAATCTGTCGTAGACTTTTCCAGGGCTGCCTTCAGCCGAGGTGAATCTAGGCAGCAGTCGCAGGATGTAGTGGGAGTGAGTTTGTAAATCTCTGTGTCTTTTGCAGTCGTTTTAACAGATTTTTTTTTTTTAATCCTCAGAGATTCTACGTAAGCTACATGCATCGATACTTTCACGAAAGAAAAGGTCAAATATTTCCTGCAGGACATCATAAACCAAACAATTAATCCTCTAAAGCCCAAAACACAGCAGCCGCTCCCAAAGACATGTCGCTTGGGAAAGTTTGCCAAAATCAAACCATTTATCAGAACCAGAACGTGTAAAAGCATTTTCAGTATTTGCCCAATAATAACAATAAAAGTACAATAAATAATAATCAAAGTGTAAAAACAGCTTCTTTTTTTTTTCCTTTTTGCTTTAAATCAAGTTTCATTTTGGCAAATTTTAGTTGCAGAACTAAAGTCATTTTATCTTAAAGTTTCTCAAACAATCTTTAGAAACAATTTAGAATATCATGATAGACCATAAAATAAATTTAGTTCATTATCCAAATAAATACAAAAACAAAAATAACAGAAAAATTGCACATGATGACCAATAAATGTGTTCTGATGAGTTTAAATAAGCATCAACATGCCAACCTACTGCCTGGAAAGGTTTTCAAACAATAATAATAATAATAATAACAAAAAACAATTACCAAATAAAGATAACTGTTTTATTAACAATCCAATCGTTCAAAATCTGCAGCTTTGTTAGGAAAATTAACCAAATCTAAGCTTAAAGTCATCACAGATCACTTCATTCTACGTGTTTGGTGTGGAATAAAAACCAAAAACGCCAAATATAAACCAGGGAGAGAAAAAGATTCTGTAGAAAAATAATAATAATACAAACTTCTGAGCAACCATGAAGACATGACTGGAAAAAAACAAAATCAGACTTTTCCGATAAACTGCAGGTTGTGTTTAAACAGCGCAGAGAGAAGATAACGGGCGAGACTGACATCAAAATAAATAACAATAAATAAATAATAATATAAATGCAGCACCGCTCAGAAGCGGTGAACAGAGGAGCAGCTTGTTGAGGAAACATTCAGCATGGTGAAACATCTTTGTGTTTTTTTTAGAGATTATAAAAATGTAAATAGTTCATCTCTAGAGCCTCCATTTTCCTGGTATTGAAATTTTGTAGTTTATTTTAAAAACAGATTTATAAAATTTACTTTTTTTCCCATCATAGCTCGCTGCTTCTGACTTCTCTCCTTCTTCATGGTTTTTCTGTTTCCTTTGAGATTCAAACATTTACATTACAGTAAAAAAAAATATCCCACAGTGAGTTATAAACTGCTTTGGGTTCAGACGGCGAGCGAACGGACACCCTTGAGTTTATCCATGCCTGAAAACACAGACTGTAATTTGTGGGAGTTTTGAATGCCGAACCTTTAAATGTGTGTGTCGTTGCTGCAGGCGAAGCACCTTCAGAAACCCTATGAGATCAACCTGATGGAGGAGCTGACTCTGAAGGGCATTACTCAGTTCTACGCCTACGTCACCGAGAGGCAGAAAGTCCACTGCCTCAACACGCTGTTCTCCAGGGTAACTCCACCACCCGCACATTTTACACCAGCAGCTGACCGTCTGCAGGCTCGTCTTCCCCAGAAAGGAGTCTCACATCTGTGTTTCTGTTGAAGATTAACAAAAAAAAAAAAACAGCCTGATTTTAATTGTTTAAAATCCAGTTTGCATTTTCTTCATTTTTGCAGCTTATTGGCTCAGATTGATTAGAATTTGTTTCGATGTCCAGTCGTGACTTGTGAACATTTCTCCCCCAGCTTCAGATCAACCAGTCCATCATCTTCTGCAACTCCACTCAGAGGGTGGAGCTGCTGGCCAAGAAGATCACTCAGCTGGGCTACTCCTGCTTCTACATCCACGCTAAAATGATGCAGGTGAGAAAAACGCACCACTGAAGGCTGCTTGTGTTGCTTTGTGTGGGCTCAGTTAGTCAAATCTGTTATTAATATTACCGGGATCTTTCTGCGTGGAGTCTCCATGTTCTCCTCGTGCAGCGTGGGTTCTCTCCGGGTTCTCCGGCTTCCTCCCACAGTCCACAAACATGTTGAGGTTAATTGGTGATTGTAAATTGTCCGTAGGCGTGAATGTGAGTGTGCTTGGTTGTCTGTCTCTAAGTGTAGCCCTGTGATAGACTGGTTACCTGTCCAGGTGAACCTGCCTTCACCCTGAGTCAGCTGGGATAGACTCCAGCCCCCCATGACCCTAGTGAGGATTAAGCGGTGTATAGATAATGGATGGATGGAAACACATTAATGCGGATTGTGCTGGTGCTCTGGATGAGTTTTTCTAAATCGCCCTCGGCCCGTTTTGTAACTCGTCTCGTTTTGTTCTCAGGAATACAGAAACCGTGTGTTCCACGACTTCAGAAATGGACTTTGCAGAAACCTTGTCTGCACCGGTGAGGATTTACTGTTTGATCTGCAAGTTGAGGATCAGAAATCATCCAAAAAATCCCTTTTTAACGTTGATCTTCTCCCAACAGATCTGTTCACCAGAGGAATCGACATCCAGGCTGTCAACGTGGTCATCAACTTCGACTTCCCGAAGAACGCTGAGACTTACCTCCATCGTATCGGAAGATCAGGTGAGATGTTCTCTCGACTTCTTGGTGGGAAACAGAGGACTACACGCAGCCTTCATAGCCAAATAAATTCTTAATCAACATAAAAGGCGGCATATTAAATCATTTTAATCTTCTTTTCTGACACTGCAGCAGACTCTGAGCGAACGAGCATCGCTTACATGTTCATGTAAATTCTGACAATAGAACAAAATCAGCTGGATGAGATGAAACTCAGACTAGTTAGCTGCTGTTTTTAGATGATTTGGCTGTCGAGCTGTGACGCACAAACTGCTGTTTGGAGTTTAAACTCAGCTTTTTGGCACAGATGCAGCCACGACGACGACTTTCATGAGATCAGTCAAATAAACGTTGAGTTAAACACGTCAGAACCGGACGCCTGTGTCGAGTCGGAGCAGTTTAAAGTTGTGAAAACGCTCCTAAACTAATGGATTCATGCTGGAAGTCTGTGGATGTAGAACTTTTTTCAGTATGAAAGCAACACCAGAGATTGTTTTGATGTTGATCAAATTGGAGCAAATCAACCAACCAGTTACAGCTGTAGCAGAAAATGATGTTCAAACTGGTTTTAAATACAACAAATCCAGCTTCTTCTGTGTTTCCTCTGTGCTTTGTGCTTCTTCTTGAGGGATGAATGAACGTTTCTCCATTTGGTGTGTTTGTTTTATTAATGCAACGTGTGACTCTTTGGATATTTGGGTCTAAATGAGCTTTTATGCTGCTAAAAAAATACGATAAATGTCGATAAAATGAGTGACTGGTAGTGGGTTGGAACCAGTTGGGAAAAATATCTAACTGTGGTTTGTTTTTTATTCTTATTTCGCTCAGTATTAGCACTTGAGAACGTGACAGTCGTTGCTTTTATTTCAGACGTTTTAATTAGAAATCGATAAATAGTTGAACACTAATTGGACTTTGATTTAAATCCACCCTCAGGGAGGTTCGGTCACCTGGGCCTGGCCATCAACCTGATCACCTCGGAGGATCGCTTCAACCTGAAGGCCATCGAGGACCAGCTGGTGACCGACATCAAGCCCATCCCCAGCAGCATCGACAAGAGCCTCTACGTGGCCGAGTACCACTCGACCGGCGCCGACTGTGACGTGGAGGAGGTGGAGGAGAAGCCGGGACGCCAGCAGGACAGCACCTAGAGCAGGTGAGGAGCTTCCCGAGTGTAACGCCGCGCTCGGATCGTCCACCGCGAAGTCCAGCATGTGGTGCTTTTAAAAGTCTCAGCTGGTCTTATGCTACGTACAAAATCGTCACGAGGCACAAAGTGAAAGTCGTACAGAAGCTGCAGCTTTGTTCTGCTGTTAGAGGAGGAACGTTGGCTGGTAGATAATGAGCCTTTTCTCAGCCGTGCAGCAACAAATATTATTAAAACACCTGCAGGAACCATGTTTGACTTAAACCGCAAAATTTTAAACACGTTAGCGACGTGCTGTTAAGCTCATGTGGCAACTTCTGCTTTAAACACAAACCTTAATTTTAATTAATTTGGCTTCACAAACCTTAATTTTAATTAATTTGGCTTCTGTGCATGTTTAATTATCAACAGTGTGTTTAAAATGAGCCTATGATAGCACAGTTAGCTGCAGCTCCCGTCACAGGTAGAAACAGTGCAGCTAAAACCTGTTGTAAATAAAGTTCTGCTTGCACAGATATGAGTTAGAAAGTTGTGTTTTGATTGATTTTAACCACAACAACTAGCAAACATTTTACCATAAACATGCGTCCAAATACAAACACGTAGAATTTACCAAAATAAAATAACTGAAATAAAGTTTTATTTTAATGTTGACGAGAGATGTTTAAATTACTAAGTGTAAATTTAAACAGCACATTGTGGTGTCCTAACATGGTGCGCGTGTTCTGGTTGTTTGTTTACGCGGCAGAAATAATTACACATATGATTATTTAGCAGCGTTGCGTTGAATTAAGTAAGGGATAATGCCCGACGAGGTGTCCATTATCAGAAATTAATGGACGACGCGGAGGCGTGAACCGTCCGACGCGAAGCGGAGGACGGTTGCTTCCGCGAAGTCCATTCATTTCTGA